ATCTATTCGGGTTTGTGGTGAGATGTTTTCATGACATTAGCACAAGATCCTAATAGGTTTTAATTGTTCCTAAAACAAACACACCATTTACTAGAAATATAATTTGTATGTAAACAACCGCATAATTGAATACACGTAAATTGGTGTGTAATACTACTTACTACCTTGCGTGTAATTTTGTTAGTTTGCATAAAAGTGTATCAAACAAACAAATTAAGTTCAACCTAAAAACCCCAACCCAAAAAGTCCAAAAACCTGGGTTTTTGTATACTCTATTCGGGTTTGTGGTGAGATGTTTTCATGACATTAGCACAAGATCATAATTGGTTTCAATTGTCCCTAAAACAAACACACCGTTTACTAGAAATATAATTTGTAAGCAAACAACCGCATAATTGAATACACGTCAATTGGTGTGTAATACCTCACGTGTAATTTTGTTAGTTTGCATAAAAGCGTATAAAACGAACAAATTCAGTTAAACCTAAAAACCACAACCCAAAAAGTCCCAAAACCTGGGTTTTTGTATAATCTATTCGGGTTTGTGGTGAGATGTTTTCATGACATTAGCACAAGATCATAATTGGTTTCAATTGTCCCTAAAACAAACACACCATTTACTAGAAATATAATTTGTATGTAAACAACCGCATAATTGAATACACGTAAATTGGTGTTTAATACCTCACGTGTAATTTTGTTAGTTTGCATAAAAGTGTATCAAACAAACCAATTCTGTTAAACCTAAAAACCCCAACCCAAAAAAGTTCAAAAACCTCGGTTTTTGCATAATCTATTCGGATTTGTGGTGAGATTTTTTCATGACATTAGCATAAAATCATAATTGGTTTAAATTGTCCCTAAAACAAACACACCATTTACTAGAAATATAATTTTCGGGCAAACAACCGCATAATTGAATACACGCAAATTGGTATGTAATACCTCACGTGTAATTTTGTTAGTTTGCATAAAAGCGTATCAAACAAACCAGTTCACTTCAGTCCGCGCAGATCGACCTAGTTGGAGACACCTTGTCTAAGGTCCTCTACTAGCGTCGTTATCACAACTCCCAACGTCAGAGCGTGGACTTTGTACGTTCTCAGACGTTTCGACGGCATCTTAGTCGGCGTCACCGATGCGTCGTGCCCTCCTCACCACCAAGCTACAACTCGTCAAAACGACAGATTGTGCCCACTACAGTCGTCGTGACAACAAGGTACATACATCGAAAGTAGACTGCCACCATACCGAGGGCAACACCATGTTATGCTTCATATATTCGAGTAAAAAAGCCATAATTTTATCTCTTTCAACGACATTGACTACTCATTAGTATGTGAGTAGAGCTTCGAGAACACCATAAAATCAGTAATATATGATGGATTCAACATTTTTTGGTTAAAGTGATGAAGGACTGGTAGTAGAATTTCCCCAAAATGATGCGAGTAGAGCTGACGTTCCCATTCAATTTTACACAACTTTACTTTGCCAAAATATGTTCTCATCCAGGCCCCAGTGGACTGCAGTTTCGACATCGCCTCGGTCTCATCAACACCCCCAGCGGGAGTCGAACCGAGCTTGCCTGCCACGTTAACCACTCGACCGCATTTCCACGAGTACCCTTGGTTCACAGGGCAGATGTGAATTTCAAGGAAGGTCACGCCTTTTGCCATAACATATTCTTTTTGGCGGGATTGACGATGAAGCAAACGTATATTTGCTATATCAATCGACTACGTTACTTATTTTTCGTAAGTAATTATAGTTCCAAGACTACCAGTAGATCAGTAGTATAATATGCATTCACTCTATTTTACGTAAGATGATGAACGACTGGTAGTAGAATAGTCTAACGCCAGTCCTGCATGAGGTTAAACGAAATTCGGTGACTACATCTCATATTACTCATAAGTATGTGAGTAGAGTTTCGAGACCACCAATAAATCAGTAATATAAGATGTATTCAACCTTTTTTGGTTAAGATGGTGAAGGACTGGCAGTAGAATAGTCGAATGCCAGTCATTTATGAGCTTAAACTAAATTAGCTGAATACAGTTCATATTACTCATAAGTATGTGAGTAGAGTTCGGAGACCACCAACAAATGAGTAATATATTATGTATTCACCCTATTTTGGTTGAGGTGATGAAGGACTGGCAGCAGAATAGTCGAATGCCAGTCCTTTGTGAGCTTAAACGAAATTGTGTGAATATATACTCATATTACTCATAAGTAGGCAGGTGTAAGGATTAGGTCGTGAGTGGGCCGGTGTAGCGGAGGGAGGAAGGAGGAAGGAGGAAGGAGGAAGGAGAGAGAATGGTGTCACTCACCGACGACTGTCATCCACGGCCATATTTGTCCGGGGGTGGAGGAGACGCTGCCGTTGCCCGAGTTCTCGTCGTCCGACTTTGCCGCGTGCACGTGAAGAGGATCGGGCGTCATTTGGGTCTGGCAGAGTCGCTGCTGACTTTCCAGCAGCAAAAGATGCTTGTTCAGCTCCACATGGCCCGACTGTTTGGCCGCGTTGTTGCCGGCATTGTTGGCCAACGCGGCGGCGGCGGTGGTGGTGGTGGTGGTGGTGGCGGTGGTGGTGGTGGTGGTACCGACCGAGGGTGAATGGGGTGAGTTGGCGGCGGCGGTGGCGACCTGAAGAACGGGCGTCAGTTTCATGGACAGCATCTGCGGTTGGTGGTCGTGGAAGGAGGAGGTGA